AAAAAAAATACTTGAGGAGAATTTAAAAATCATGAGTGTATTTTCCTATATAAGGAAAAAAAAAATGATCATGTGAATGTTATGCTCTTTGCTCCAAATAAATTTATGCAGGCATAAAGTATGACATTTCATAACATAAATATGCAATTTTATTAAAAATGTATGGCGGGTCGACCGACCCACTTAACAGTTATGTCGCCTCATATAAGAACTTGTATGCCCCACATCTCCAAACATATAAGAACTTGTATTCTTAAAACAAAAAAAAAAAAAAATACTTGAGGAGAGTTTAAAAATCATGAGTGTATTTTCCTATTTAAGGAAAAAAAAAAAATGATCATGTGAATGTTATGCTCTTTGCTCCAAATAAATTTATGCAGGCATAAAGATAGCTAGTCAAATATATATATTTTGATTGGGATAAAAAATAGGACAGACTACAGGTCAAATCATCTATTTTCCAATTGTTGTTATAGAAAAGAATTTATATTACATTTATAAGTGCCCAAAATTGTGCCTTTGATTTATCAAGGTACCTAAGAAATAGCATGCAAGTGCCAACAGTTCTTTGTCCTTGGTCAAAAGTAAAAAGACTTATAACTTGTAAGCAATGTACAAGTGAAACTGAAGGGCTGATTGATGCTGAAATTAATTAACTAAAAATAAATGCAACAATAAAACATTAAACATGGTTTACAAAGTTATATATATGTAGAGTTAATATTTATTGACCTGTTTAATTTGGAGTTGGACCTAACCACTTCACCATTTTAACCAAGAAACAACTGAGATGGTGAAAAAGATGTGACATTAATTATATATTGGGACATTTATTATACATCTAGCTACATTCACAACCACTTCATGCAAATAATTTAGTGACTACTACTCTTTCTATTCATAATAAGTGTCGTTTTGAGAAGTTGCACAGTTATTAACAATATTTTTTTGCCAATAATAACAGGTTGAGAAAAGATGAAGAGCAAATATAAAAGGATGTAGTGTATTTATTAGTTAGATGAGGGTTATAATGAAAAAATATTTACAACATATCTTAAACGACATTTATTTTGTTAATAATTGATAACGCTAAAATGACATTTAAAAAGAATATGAAGTAGTATAAATTAAATAATTAATACTACAATCAAAACAAAACAATCCACATAGAAAGGAAAATGCATGTGGACAAGTAATCAGATCGAATTATTTTAAGTTGGATTAGGTTTACAATGATTTGGAGTGCTGGTTGAACCACATATTATTGGTCAAACCAAATCCAACTTCTAGCTACCAATCCTTGGTGAAATGTAAGTTTATACTACCTCCGATTTTAATATATGTCGTTTTGATAAGTTGCACATTTATTAAAAATATTTTCTTTGTCAATAATAACCTTATTTAATGAAGATAGAGATTAATGTTTTGAGAAAGATGAAAAGTGAATATGAAAAGACGTGATATATTTATTAGCTAAATGAGGGTAATAATGGAAAAATATGTACTAAAAATCCAAAAAGACATTTATTTAGTTAATAGTTGATAACCAAAATGACTTTAAAAAAAAAAAAAAATAGGAGGAAGTAATAATTAGAGTGAGTATGAGTTACTCTTATTGCCAAAAAGAAAACTCATAATGTTTCTGATCATAGGCCTATTAGTTTGTGTACCGTTATTGATAAGATTATATCAAAATCTTAACTAATAGACTTAAAATCGTGATTCATGCCTGTATTTCTCCTTCTCAATCTGCATTTGTTCCAAGCAGGCAAACCTTAGACAACGTGATTCTAGACAATGAATGCATCCATCATTTAAACAGTAAAAGGTCTGGCAATGATAATTTAATATAATGGCAATAAAGCTAGATATAGCCAAGACTTATGATAGAGTTGAATGAACTTTTATAGCTATAATCTGTTGAAAGATGGGTTTCTCTTATGTGTTATGTCTTGGGTTCTTACTTGTATTTGCTCACCTTCTTCTGCTTTCAATATCAATGGGCATGCCTAATTAGGGTACCTGCAGCCTGCTAGAGGTCTGAGACAAGGAGACCCCTTGTATCCTTACATGTTCAATTTGATTTCTGAGGCTTTTTCTAATTTGGCGAATCTGAGACAATGAGACCCCTTATATCCTTACGTGTTCAATTTGATTCAGAGGGTATGTTTAGTTCAACGAAGGGAAGGGGAGGGGAGATATTTTAATGGGACGGAGGGAAGGGGAGGGGATGTGATGTAAAATAATTTTACCTTGTTTGGAGGAATATTATAGGAGGGGAGATGAAGGAAAATTGTAAACCTTGTTTGGGTAGAAAATAGAGGGGGAGGAAAAATAATGTTATATTGACTAGTTTATCCTTATTGATACAAGAGATAAAATAATAAAATAATTTAAATACTAAGGACATAAAAGTAAATTTATCACATTACATTTTCCTTCCCCTCCAAATCCTCCCAATTTTGGAGGAGAACTGAAAACACTATTGAGAGGGGTTTTAATCCAATTTTTTCCTTCCCCTTCCCCTTGAAAAAGTGAACCAAACAAGTGAAATCTGATTTTTCCTCTCCCCTCCCATCCCCTCCCCTCCAAAACCCCCCAACCAAACACTACCTGAGGCTTTTTTTTTTTAATTTAGCGAATCAGGCATGTCTGAGTTAGTCATTTAAAGGGATTAAAATTGCTAGAAATTATTCTGTTATATCCCATTTATTCTTTAAATATGGTTCAATTCTTTTTTGTAAGGCTGGTTGTCGCACAACATTAATTGGACTCCTTTTCAGTCGAGAAAGAGTAAGTATTGGACGTATTAGAAGTCTCGGACTTCCTTCCTCTCCAACATACTCCCATAGCTTCCGAGCACTTCGTACCTTGTACTAAAGTATGGGTCTCCTTCCCATCAAGGAAAGGTTCATCGAAGGTAGACCCGAACCCTATATAGGAAAATGACGTGCTTTTTTTTTCCAACGATAGACTTTCATTAATAGCACACATAATTACAACACATAGAACGGCCAAAGCAGCCGAAGTCTGCAACCAAATGGCCGAAATGAGAACATATTCCTAAGGGAGCCTAAATACCACAATACACCCACATTAAAAAAGAAAAACATATCTCCCACTAGAGGAAAAACAAATCCCATAAATGAAAAACAACCTCCCAAATAGGAGAACCGAACCCCAACAGAAAGAAAAACAAAATCAAAAGAAAATATAACACCAACACACAAACATAGACACACACAAACACACCCAACAACCAACACACTAATAAACTAAACTAGACAAGAGCCCTCCCCAACCGACCGAAAGCTCTCCAATCACCTTCAAAAAGATGGCACACCGAGAGGCCCCAAAAGAAGAAACAAGCCCATTGCTTGAGCACGAGCTCTAGACACTCCTAAAGGCTGATTAGAGCTAGGCAAACCGAACAACAATCCCGTCCAGAGGCAAACCGAACAACGACCCCGCCCGAGCATCATGACAGGTTAATCTTGAAAATCTTAGATGGTTATGGGGCTTTTTCTGTGTAACTGGTGAATAAAATCCTACAGATTTTATCATTGGTTCCATTATCAAAACTATAAAAAAAAAAAAAAAGATTGAGGAATTATCAAAATTAATCTTTTGGTTATCCTTAGCCAGTGCGGGCTAGGAATTTCAATTTGTAATCATTTGGTTACTTGCGCTGTACATTTTGCTTTGAGTTATAAATATATTTATATGTTTGTTATTGAAAAAAGAAAGTATGTGATTTTTTTTTCCGAAACGATAGATAATTTTATAAATAAAAAAACACAAATGTGCGATTACACAGCAACCAACAACTAAAAAAGAGGGAGGATAGGTCAAAAGACCGCCTAGAATCTAGGCTAGCAACGCTAGAATAAAAAACACACGCTACTAAACTAACCAACAACACAAACAACAAAAACAACTACAAGACCCCAACAGGGTAATACCCGAGTGTCGGACCCCAACAGGGTAATAAGATGACACTCGGGCACACAGAGTGACACTCGGACGCACAGAGGCCAACGGTCCAAACCAAAAAATATAAAACAAGAGGCAAAACAAAACGAAACTAGACAACACATAACAAA